GGTGATGTATGTTGTGTGTTGGCAATTAATTTGCATGTTGGCAGATGATTCCTCTTAAAAGGGGAAGGGATTAAAAGTGCGTGGGAGAAGAGAGGAAGCAACTTGGTCCTAGAGACATGATTTTCCTATGGGCTATGTAGCTCTTTGGGACAGGACGTGCTAACCACAAGAACTGCCTCTTTCTGCAGCTGTCTTGAGAATATAGGGATGACTAGGAATCCAGCAAGTGTGGATCTTGGTTCAGGAGTGTGGGCCAGGACTTTTTTGGTTGATAGGTTTATGGTTTTGGAATTGCTATTTCACCAGTGACCTACCGGAATCTGCATCTTCTAGAGCCCAGGGTAGGACACAGCTCTGTGCATATAAAGAATCCCCTTTGTGTTTGCTACACTCCACTCCTGATTTGTTTTCTTATCAGGAGGCATTCACACCCAACCCAGTTTGCTCCTGCTTAGCACATGAAGTAACTAGCTCACAAGTGACACAGGCCATAACCTTAATGGTGGAGAGGATACATAACATTTAGATGGTTTCAATTTACGCAGACGTTGGGAAATGATTGTAGACGGAGACTGATCCGTACCAGCAAATTTGAACCTGTGTAATACAGAAAGACTGCTGGGTTCTGTGTCTGAATGTTGCAGCTTTTGTGTGACCAGGGTGAAGTGATGTGGCTTGTTTTCTTCTTCTGTAAAGCGAGGATAGTTCTCAACCTCATGGTGAGGTTGTGAGGGACCTTTTATGCAGGATATTTTATACAGCTCTTTGAGATCCTTGGGTTAAAGACACACATTTTAAGAGGCCTAGAACAGGCTTGTAACAGCTGCAATTAGATATGTTTTTCCCTGCTTGTTGTCTGTGTGCCTAAACTCTGAATGTCCTGATCTTCAACATTGACTAGGTGAACCTATGGGACTAGTTGATGAATTAAAAATGTGGTTCGGAAGTGTCTGCGGAGTATTACACCTTGGTTGTGTTCACTGTCTTTCAGGTGCCTTTGAAATTGAAATCAATGGGCAGCTCGTCTTCTCCAAACTAGAGAATGGTGGCTTTCCTTATGAGAAGGATGTAAGTACCAAGATCCCAGCTTGACTCTTGAATCAGTCAGTGTGGGGTGTGCCCATAGGGACGTTCCTGTTCACAACAATCCCCTTCTGGCTGAGAGACTTTCTATTTTTGGAAGCAACATACTTTGCAAAGGCGTTTCACCATCCTAGAGCCTTGCTACTTTGCTCCTCGTGTATCAAGGCAGGTTGCAAACCAATGGGTATGTTGTTACAATCAGAACCATGCTGCCTGTAACGGATTTCAAACACCATCCTGAACCCTGCTTTAGTGCGGGTTAAACCACAAACTGCTGCCTGCTTCTGATATTACTTGGCTTAGAAGCTTTGGCCAGCGTTTTCAAGAATGAGTGCTGATTTTGGGTGCCTGGCTTGAGACACCTTTTAAAGCAGGGGTGGGGAAACTTTTTTGGGTCGGGGGGGGGAGGAGGCGGCGCAGCAGTGGTGCTGCTGACCCACAGAAAAATCAGTTGAGGGGGCTGCACGCAAGTGAGAAGTAAAAAAAACCCGACAAACTCTCACCCAGGGGGTCCCCATGAAGGAGAAAGACACCCCCAACATTCCTCTCACACACCAGAGTTTAGGAGGAGCCAGGCCAGTAGATTTTGTGTGTTCAAGCTTCGAGAGCCGGACCAGGGGCCACCTCTGGGCCTTAGGCTCCCCACCCCTGTTTTAAAGTATCCTAATTTTTCAGAAGGGGAGCACACAGCTCCTCCTTGACAGTCCAGCCCATGAAGCGGTTTCAAGTTAACCCCACGATTATTCTCCATTAGAGGCCTATGGGAGAATCTTTGATGGGGGAATTAATGCCTTTTCATTCTGTCTCTTGTTCTGTAGCTCATTGAAGCAATAAGAAGAGCCAGAAATGGGGAACCACTAGAAAAAATTACCAACAGCCGCCCCCCCTGTGTCATCCTGTAGCTCTGGCAGCACCCTCCTTGTCAGTACGCACGTTCTGTTCTGATCACCGTCAGCTCTGCCCATCCAGTCTTAACTCTCATTACCTTGCTGCTTTGCTCCTCTCTGCCTTCTGGCTTAATTAGCTCACTCTATGGCCAGGCAGCATCATGTGTGGAAGAGACCTCAAGGTAACTTGAATCGATAACTTAGCTGTGCAAAGAGGCTTGTGGGGAGTGGCACTGCATAAGGGAATGTGGGGCAGGGATGGGTCAGTTTAGAGCTTACTGCGTTGCTGTTGGGTAGGAAGGACTAAACTTTGGTGGTACTTTAGGCATATGCTGTTTCACCTCAGACAGCCACCGAGCCCCGAGGAGGAGGAGAGTAAATCCAAGCCATCATTTTGTACCCCTCTTCCATTCCATACACGTCCTCGTTTCTCCTATTTTTGTGGCACGTATATGGGCAACTTTGTGCTGCCACCCTCCCCTAAAATCCTGGTGGGTTGGGCAGAGTTGACCAGACATTTCCTGGCACCAGCAGGAGTTCTGAGTGCGCTGAGAAAGGGCTGCCTGGTTTTGCTTAGCATTATGCTCTGGAAAGGAGAAGGACTTCATGCCAAAGAGTAGCAGACAGTGGTTTGGGACCGTCTGCAGAGAACAGCCTGTGACGGTTACGAAGACCTGGTGATTTGGATCAGAAGCAGGTTTTAGAAGAACGGAATTGTTTGTAAATGCTGAACACTATTGTTGCCACTGTTTAAACCAGTGCTAATATGCAGAATCAATTAGACATCAGTTTTTGGATAGTAGAATCCCTTTCTTCTTTTCTCTCCTCCTGGGTGAACCATAATTAGTGACTGACTTCTAATTGCCCATCTGCTCCCTGCAGAAACCTCCCCACGCCCCCATTCCTCCTGTTTCACACTCAATTTTCACATTCTATTGTCATGGCTTTGCCCTTTGACACTGAATGCCAAGGGGGTGAATGAGCGAAAGGATAAAGTGCTAAGTGACTTAAGAGAATGCTGGTGTTACAGATAAGAACCTGGCAGTGCCAATGAAATTCTGGCTGCCTGGTGTCTAATTTATGCTTTGAGATATGGGAGGGAGGCTCTATTTATTATAGACTGTGTATTTAAAAACGGCCAGTAGTAAATAAAGTCACAATAAAACCTTATTCCTTTTTACATTGTCTGGGGATATAAAAGAACGGGGTGTTCTGTGCACTGGACTATGAAAGCTTTGGAGTGCTACAGGTGGTTACAATAGCACTCAAGGTGAATATTGTTCATGGATTTCAGGCATCTGGACCCAGTGCTTTTTTTGTGACGGTACTGCCAAGTATGCAGTACCGGCACCTCCAGTCAGAGCTGACTGGAAAGAATGGAACCCACACCTCTATATGCAAATGTCCAACAGTCAGCTGGGCCGTGTGTCTTAAAGGGGCTGCATCTCTTAAAAGGGCAATGCCCGCACCACCCCAGCTTTTTTCCCCCCCCCACTCAACAACTTTTCCCCTGGAATACCGGCACCTTTTTTTTTTTTTTAACAAAAAAAAAAAAGTACTGCCTGGACCCCTGGGTTACCCAAACTGTTGCTTGAGTGTTGCGACATATTTGTTGAAAGGTGCGTACCTGTTGCTCAGAGACAGTGGTTGTATTTGCACTTGAGGTTGCCATAGGCTAGATGAATAATTAGGACTTGTGCATTTGCGTCAGCTTTCCAAGCAGTCCCCTAGTCTTTTCCTCCAGCCCTAGTTTTGTAAAATAAAGCTGTTTTCACGGCCAGAATACCAAGTGTGTTTGTTCAGTGAGCTTGTGAACAATGTAACATCCTCGTGGAGATAAAAGGCAGAGGGAATGTTTTACTTCCATGCAGCCAGATGGAGTCAAGCCTCTACCTCCTGGGGTTGGCATGGGTTAGCAAGTAAAACCTCCCTCTGCGTTAAGTCTCCGCTACATCGTTCGCTATCTCTGTGTGCAAACGTGCTGTTTGTGCAGCATGTGCTCCAAGGAGATTCACCCCTCGTGAGTGAAAGAACGAGGCCTTGATTTTGTTTAATCAGTGCACACTTGCATGCTTCAGTGTAGTCACTACTTATACTGCTGGGAGGGGTTCTCCCATTGGTGTAGGTAATAACGGGTGGTTGGTTGGTGCAGCTGGGGCTGGGAGAGGCAGGCCCTTAGCCCCACCTACAGCCCTGCCCCCCACCCTCCTCCGAGAGTGTCTTTTCAGGTAACGCAGGCAAACTGTTTAGTAGGAAAAAGTTAAAAAACAACAAATAGTTTAGTCGCACTTTAAAGATTAACACATGTAGATGGTATCATGAGCTTTCGTGGGCACAGCCCACTTCTCCAGATCCAACACGCCAGCCATCTGAAGAAGTGGACAGTGCCCACGAAAGCTCGTGATACCATCTCTACATGTATTGTTAGTCTTTAAAGTGCTACTAAACTATTTGTTGTTTTTTAAGATTTTCCTGTCACAGACGAACTCAGCTTCCCCTCTGAAACTTTTGTTTACTGGGGAGGGGGCGGCATGAGGTGACCCACCCCCGCACACCCTCCGTCAATCCCACCCCAAGTTTTGTTGCTATTTTTTTGGGAGGGGGGCGTGAGGGTTTCTCAAAAATCAAAAAGGGGGGTGTGATGCCGAAAAGTCTGGCAAGGACAGGGGGCTTCAGAGCTCCTTTCTCCCCTATCAGATGACTAAACTGGATTGAGCTACTTCTCATAATAGTCGTTTAACGTGAAACAGAGATTAAAGTAGGGCTTGGTAGCAGGCTTTGCCATGTGCCTGCCTCAGTTTACTAGCCTAACAAATGACTTGAGCTAGATTCCAGCCCTGAGGGGCAGGTAACATGGGTACATCCCTTTGCTCTGCTGTACAGCAGAGCTAAGCGTTACTATCTTCTGTGAGTGCTGAATGCTCACTGTTTCCTACTGGGGATGCTGCTGATAGGAGGAAGTAAACAGCGAACACAAGTCAGTGTAGAGGGGGGATTTGCACGCGTCGGGAAAACACTCCAGCCAAATAGAGTAGAAAAACCATGTACAATTCTCAAATATACAAATAGTTTTGATACAGTTGGTTAAAAAGTAATCCAGCAGTCACCTTCTACAATGCGTAAAACTAACGTTTTAAAAGAGGATGTGGGGATGTCTTAGGTCAACTCGTCCCCCAGAGAACTTTCATGAGAGCAAATCGCTTTCCTGCGTGGGTAGGTTTGAATTGAGGGGGGACACATGGAGCATTTGACTGTTCTCTGGGGCACTGCATGAAAACCCAGTGTAAACTGAAACCGATCGAGGGCGTCTTTACCAGAAGTGTCTGCGGGATTGCACCACCGGAAGCCGGTTTTGGAAGAGGCTCGGTGATCTGTCGTGTAATGTGCAGCGCTTTTTAATGTTTGGACTGGCAACAAGCGAGTGCTGATTTAAAAAAAAAAAAAATCCTCCAGGAGGAACCCTTCACGTTTAGGCAGACCCTGCCACTCCAGCGAGAGCTGGCTGCGGTCCTGCCTATTAGTTCCTGAAACAGGAAGCCACAGCCAGCCTGTGCAGCGCAGTGGCTGACCTTGTGGGCTGAGAGGCTGTATTGGAGCACACCAATACCTGTCTCCCCTCACCACTTCTTCCAGAGGGCTCGGACAGCGGGCTGATGCCTTGTGCCACAGACGGTCTGGTGAGCAGGTTTCTGTAGTTGCTGGACACAACGGGAAAGGACCCTGCTCTCCATTCTGTGCCTCTTGTTCCCATCCTGTTCTCCCGAACGGGTGCTGCATTGGACACCTGAGCTGTCCTGTCCTTGGTCGGGGCATGCCTCCTCCCTCCCTGCGCTTGATTACTCATCACAGGGAAACCCGGAACTACAGTGCCTGCTGTGATCCCCGTCTGCCGGCCTCGGGGGAGCAGCTCAGAGGCGGGGAGGGCTGCTTACCGCAGTCAGCCTCCAGGCCACTGCCGCTTTTAACCCCTTCCCTGTTAACACTTTTCCACTGGTGTCCTAACCGCACACATCAGGCTGTAAGAGCTCAGCCCCCTTCTCTGTCCCCACCCTTCCTGTTACTGATGCCGCACAGGGAAAAGAGGCTGGGTTTGCGGTGCCTGGAGGTGGTGTTTCACATTTTCCCAGTCAGCCAGGATCACTCATTAAAGCCCTCGCGTGTCAACCCCCCTGGGCCAGACTGTGGCTTTTATAAACAAAAGCTGCCCCATGGTTGGCATGCGGAAGTGGAGGGACCTGACAGTCCCTGCCCAGAGGAGGTGAAGATGGAAGAGACCCCATAGGCACCAAGGTGTTTGTCAAAACGAATCCGATTTCGTAGCTAGAGGAAGGACAGGCTGGGTGAACGCCCCTCCACGCTCGCTGGAGTGAGATGTCGCCCAGCTCCGTTCGGTCCTTCCAGCTCCTCTCCAATCTGCAGCCAGGTCTAGTTTCAAGAGGGCTGGCAGAGCTGCCCTTGGGCAGTAGTTCCGGGCTCTGGTGCTGTTCTCCCCGGATCCCTTCGTTACAGGACACGTCCACTCGGCACACGAGTTGTTACCATCCAGACACCGACACCTATCCAAGTCGCCTTGGCTGAAATAGCTTCCTCTGCGGACCAGGCCCTGGTCGTTAATCCGACGTGTCCTTGGCCCGCGTGACGGGCACGGGGAGGCCAAGGTATTCTGGATTCTCCGCCGTCGGCGTGGTGGTGGAGCCTGCGTCGGTGGGGTTGACTTTGGAAGGGTCCTGGTTCCAGTAGTAGGGATTGTCAAAGGCCTGCGTGAAAGCATTGGCCAAGGAAAGGTGGGGGGGGGTCAGGTACTCCGGATTCTCCACTGCGCTGGCGAAGCTGCCTTGGAAAGGGCTCTTTGGTTCCTTGATTAGCCCGTTCTTTCCCAGGTGTCCCTTTGGCTTCTCAAGCGTGGACCCCTGGGATCTTTGGTGCTTGCCCGGCGAGAGGCGAGCCCCCATCTGGTTCACGTACTCTGCAGATGGGAGACACACATTTCATGAAGCATGCAAACTGGGTCTCCCTCCCGCCTCCCCGTGCTGCCTGGAGCCCTGGGACGATGCAGGACTCCTCTGTCCAGTGGACTCTTAGGACTTTGCAAAGCCTGGCTTGTAAACCATTCCTCCACGCCCCCTTCGGGCACCCCCCCCAGGTAGCTTTATTCTGCTGACCTCTGCAGCTTACCCACAGGCAGGCAGGGGCTGGATGGTGCAAATTGTGTGGAAAATCCAGTATTCCTGGTAGAGCAAACTTCCCTTCTGTTCTGTCTCAGGGATTTGGGAGGTGCAATTTTATCTGCCTTGCTGCCAGTCCTACACCGGGGAGGAGGGGGGGCACTCCAAGATTTACATTAGCATGGTCAGACCAAAACTCTGTCTCCTGTCTGCTGACAGCGGCCAATACCAGGTGCCCCAGAGGGAGTGAATGGAACAGGGAATCGTCCAGTGTCGCCCATTCCCAGCCCCAGACACACAGAGGTAGGGGACACCATCCTGGTTAATGGCCATTGATTGACACAACCACAGCTCGACAAACTATACAATCGAGTAGATTTCAGCCGCGCGCCCCGTTCATTCGCGGCTCTTGCGCATGCGCAGTGCGGGGCTGGTGGGTGTTTTTCGCCGCGGTTTGTCAAGCCTTGGACATAACCTCCACGAATGTAGCTAGCTCTTTTTTTGAACTCTGTTGAAGTCCCAGTCTTCACACCGTCATTAACATCTTAAGTGGTCAAGGGCTGCACTTTTCTATGGAGGGAGTGCGGAGTCTGGGACAGAAGTTGGGTGCGGAAGGGAGCTTGGGGTAGGGGACTGTGGTGGGGGGGGGATGGGAGGGGGGTTGGGGAAGCAGGGGGCTGTGGTCTGGGGCAAGGTCTTGGGGTGCAGGGTCTGGGAGGGAGGGAGGTGCAAAGGGTTTGACTGGTGAGCGACTTGGAACTGGAGGGGGTGCAGGGTGCCAGAGGCAGGCTCTGGCTGGGAGGAGCTTACCTAGGCAGCACCTGGCCAGCAGCCCTGCAGGACCCTGAGGAGGGCTCGTTACCTGCCGCAGTCCTGGACTGCTCAAAATGGCTGGTTGCTCCCTGTGGTTTCTGCTGGGGTGGGGAGCTACATGTGCTGCCCCCACCTCCAGAAAAATCTCTTAGCTCCCATTGGCCGGTTTTCAGCCAATTGAAGCTAAAAAATTGTGCTGGGGGCGGGCCAGCCTGCAAAGCCTCCCCCGCCCCCCAGCGCTGGGGGGCTGCTGTGTGGCTGAGGACACCGGCAGGGCGACCCGGGGCCGGTATCTTGCCCGCCCCTGCCCTAAGCTCGCGATTCCTCTGCTCTGGTTTTCATTTGTCCTTGATTTACTTTTCCACCACTTTTTATTGGTCCCCAATGGACCTGGCAGAACAGCTGGCTTTCGCCCCCACCCCCTTCCCGCCCCGAGCTCAGCCTGGAAACTCAGAGAAATGGTCGAACTCCAGAGTGGTGGGGACGCCAACATGGGCTCTCTGGAGCAGAGGTTCTTTGCCAGAGTCGCAGGCGAGGGGTGCGGAACTGGAGTGACCAACTTGAAGACACGTGGGCACCTTCTCTAGGGCTGGATGGTTCCATCCACCGCCCCCTGTAGCGTACGTGGGCAGATCCCCTAACTTCTCTATGCCACGGACTAGAGAGGGGAACCCTGGACACCCCTGGGATGGGAGCCATGCAGATCCCGGAGATGGAAAATGCTCTCTGGGTATTCATCAATGAGACCTGAAAAGCTTTGGAGAGCCAGTTAGCCTCATTTCAGAGGGGAAAACTGAGGCAGGGAGGGACATAGATCCCGGTGCTGTGCATTTAGCCCAAGAACACCCCCCCTGCTGATGCTCAGCTTAGCCCCAGGCCGTGGTTCCGGAACAGGGGTTGCCTCGGGGAAGGGCTGTGCCCGGCCCCCGTACCTGGAGCCGTGCCGCAGGATGCCGGGAGGATGTAGCTCCCGGATTCCGGCTCCTTGTTCTCGTCACTTGTAACGCTGGTGGGGTCCTCGCAGTACCGCTGGAGGATGCTGGCCTCCCTTTGCTTGCCACGTAGTCCTCGTCGTACACGTCGGGCGTGGGGCCTTCTGACTGCTCCAAGTGAGTCTGGGCCAGGTATGGATAGTGGGCCGGTTCCTCTGCCTCCTCTGCGTCCACCTGGGTCTCTGCCTCGCTCTGGGGTGGGAGGAGAACAAAGCGGGAGTCGGCCTGGGCAGTGTGATCGCTCACATCGAGGGGAGTCACCATGGGGGTCGGCCTGGGCTTATCGATTCACGCACTCCCCCTTCTGACTGCTCCAAGTGAGTCTGGGCCAGGTATGGATAGTGGGCCGGTTCCTCTGCCTCCTCTGCGTCCACCTGGGTCTCTGCCTCGCTCTGGGGTGGGAGGAGAACAAAGCGGGAGTCGGCCTGGGCAGTGTGATCGCTCACATCGAGGGGAGTCACCATGGGGGTCGGCCTGGGCTTATCGATTCACGCACTCCCCTTGCGGCCTCTGCATCAGAGGCAGGAAGGGCGGGGGGTGGGGCTCAG